AGGCCGAGGGAGGGAGAGAGCAAAGCCTCAAATTCACAGATGGCAGAGCCGGCGGCACCGTCCAGGGTCCTGCTGCCGGCCTCTTGGAAGGCCACACACGGGTCGCTCCCAGCACTGCCCCCCAGGGCCAGGGCAAACCCTAATCCAGTGTCTGCTTGCCTGTGGGGCCTCGCGTCTTGCATTGGTCTGGGAAACAGAGGCCACTGACCTGGGACCCAACTTGAACTTGTTGTTTGAGAGGAGAATGGCATGACCTGCATTTCACAAATGAGGAAACCGAGGCTCGGGGACACTCCGGTCCCTGAGCAAGGCAAGGGACCGAGGCAGCACCAGGGCCGGGGGAGGGCTGCCCACCCGGGGTCCCAGGCCAGCTGGCCGCCTGGCCTCCTGCTCACGTGCAGCCCAGAGCTTTGTTTGTTTCTCACACATCCGGAAACATCCCGGAGCCCAGCTGATCTCCACGGGGAAAGAGTGATTTAAAGCAGAACCAAGGCTTGTGAACAGCTGTGGGGTTTCTCGGAGGGCAGAAGGCGTTGAAAACCTCTGGTGGATTCAAGGGCTTTGATCAGGCAGGGGAGCGAGCTGGACGGTCATGAGCATCTCCAGGCACAGTGCAGTGACATCCATAGATGAGGAACCTGAGGCTCGGAAGAGGGATTTGAACCGGGCCCTGCAAGGCTGAGCCCTGGCCTTTGCTCCGTGAGCTGCTGGTAAACAAACCTCCCCAAGCTACTTTCTTTCCCACTCCTTCTGTAAGAGATGCTGGGAGAGGAACAGGGCAGCTGATGACTGGTGCCCTATTGTCTGGGGCAGGGGAGGGCTGCCTGGATAGGAGAGACCCCCCCCACCACCACCACCACCCAAGGCACGCCCCTGCCCAGTCTGGGGCTCTGCCCTTCCAGACTACCCAGCTGCTCAGAATAGCCCTCATTCTGCTCAGAAGGACCTGCCTTGGGCTTGGATACTTGGACACTTGCCCTGCCATGCCTTTGTCCCGCCTGACCACGCCCCCCACCCCACGCGTTCCGTGGCTCCATTCAGACCAGCCCAGGCCCTTCCCTGAGGCGCTTGTCCTCCTCTCTAGAGCACCCAGAGCCGGGCTCGGCCCCCGCTGCACCAGTAGAAACACCTGGTTTGTGGATGGTCTGCACAGCCTCACGCCTCAGTTGCTTTGCTGTGGCTCAGCCAGGCACTGAGTCCATTAAGGCTGAGTCCACTGAGCCCATTTCGGGGGTGGAAGGAGCACTGTCCTTTTAAAGACCGGCAAAGTAAAATGACAGCTCCGACAGCCCTTCGGGAAAGAAACCTGTTCCGCAGAGTGTAACCCAGTGTTTCTCAAACTTACTCAGCCATGGAATCCCTGTCTCCAGGCAAGCCTGCAGGGCAGTGTGCTGTGGGGCACCAGTTTGGGAAAGGCATTCTGTAGGGTAACTGTGGACAGGGTCCATCCCCTGGAGGTTCACAGCCCAGGGTCCCCTGGCCCAGAGGGCAGGCCCCACTTCCCCAGGACGGGAGGGGAGGTGAGAATCACATCCCCAAGCCAGGCAGGTGCATCTGACTCCAAAGCCAGGCTGCTCCTTCCCTGCCCACCTCAGAGTCCCTTCCTCAGTGACCGCGCCCACCCAGCAGCTTCTCTGAGGTCAGCCACTGCCCCTCACAGAGAGCTCGGGGCCTGAGGACGGCTTTCTTGCCCAGGTGTCATCCTGGCTGTGGGTCGGCTCTGTCCCGGGGGCTGGCCCAGCCTGGTCTGCTCTGTCAGTTCTCACACAGGGAGCTTTGGTGCCGCTGCAGGCACTGACTCGGCTTCCGGGAATTGGAATTGGCTTCCCTTCAGTCCGTGGTGGGGGCTCCCAAGAGCACTGCGAACACCCATCGCTCTGCCTCTATTGGGAAGCTAGAAACTGAATTCACCCATAAAAACTCCCAGGGCTCTGATCACACATACAGGCAGGGCCTTTGATGTGAAAATTGGTTTTCTGTTATAGACGGGGCTTCTCACACATCAGAAAGAAGCCTTGGGGACCAAGGCTGCACCATCAGTGACCCCCAGGAACAGTCCTAGGTTGGCAGAGGGCAGCGTCCAGCTCAGGAGGCAGGAGGCCTGCGGCCATAATAAGGTCCAGTCGGTGGACACTTCCAGAAACAGCTGGCAGCACTGAGATGCTCCCTCTGGGGTTGAGGCCAAGGGGACAGCCTGGGCTCCCTTCCACGGGCACTTCTAGAAAGGCAGAGCCCTGTGGTTGTGCATGCTTCACATCCAGGGGACCGTGGGAGTAGGGAGGATTTCACAGAGGTACGCAAGGCCTAGAGCAGGAGAGAGTGTCCGGGAGGCCAGACAGGACCGCGGCAGGGGCCTGCAGTGCAGACAGGATGGAGACCCAGGGCCCAGACCCTTTCTAGCTGCATGGCCCTAGGCAAGGTCTTCCCCTCACTGGGCCTCAGTTTCCTTCTCTGTAAGAGGGGGATGATGACACCTACCTTACCGGGTTGCTGTGTGATTGAGACTGAGTGGGGGCCATGGAGAGCTCCTTGAAGAGACCCAGGAAGGACTGGCACCCACGCGTGTGGGGTCGAGCCCAGGGGAGAAGTCCAAGGTGGGCATGCATAGTGGGACGTGACCCTGAGGACACCCGGCAGGGCCTGGGTCAGGGGATAGGGGGACAAGGGGCAGGGCCCAATTTAGTGTACTACCGAGGGCAGAAGGCCTGGGGGTGTGGACCCCGGGATCAGGACAGCTGGAAACTGGCAAGAGGACACTGTCCAGCTAGGGCAGCTCCTGGGAGGCTCATGGCAAGGAGTAGAACTACGCCTGTGATGGGGGCTGAGGCCCTGACCTGGGGCCCCCAGGGCCTGAGCCCCCAAGACTTTGGAATGCCCCCACTCCCTCTCCCCTGGGACCCCAGCTGTCCCCAGGCCATCACTCTGATGGCCAAACCCTCAGTGACCATGAGACTGGTGGCCAGAAGCACTTAGACACCAATTTTTAAGAACTGCCTGGTTTCCTACTGCCAGCAAGGCCCTGGCCGCGAGCCCCACATGGAGTGGCCACTCACACCATCTGGGAATGGGCAGATGGGCCATCTCCACACGAGGCTGTCTGGAGGTTGAGCCAGGGAAGCCAGCAGCTTACCTCCTACCTGGCAGGCACGGGGCCAGCTCCCAGCTGTGTCCAGAACCAGAGACCAGGAAAGTCTTCCCAGAGCAGGAGGCTGTCCCGAGGGATGAGGGATGAGCTGCCTGCTGCCAGGTGCAGACGCGGGGAGGGCACTCCAGGCAAAGGGAACAGAGAGCCGAGGGATGAAGACAGAAAGGAAGCCAGAGAGCTCGGGGACGGACAGGGGCACAGAGTGACCAGATGGCTGAAGCTGGCCTTAGCCACAGAGGACCCTGATGCTGGGCCCGGGAGTCCGTCCTCAGCCAGTGGAAGTCCAGAGAGGCAGGGACAAACTGAGCAGGGGCCACAGGTCAGGGGCCGACGAGAGCCCCTCTGTTCCTCCACCGCCTACAGGGTCCCCCATCCCGCTTTGGCCAGGCTGCTCTCTTTTGCCTACGGTGCCCTCCCCCACCCTCACACACACACTTGTTAGGTCCAAATACCCCAGCGTTACTGTCCCCACAATGCGTCTTCCCGGCTAGGGGTTGGCAGAGCCTCCACCTCTCCTCCTTCCCTTTCTACTACGCAGTGCATGCATTTGCGGCATTATCATTCTTGCTGTACTTCCTTGGTTTGACTTTGCACGTTTTCCCGGGCACATGCTGCCTGCCAGGCCCCATCCAATAACAGAGGCATGGGGATTAGACCCTTTTCCTGACTGTGCAGAGGAAGAATTGTGTAGACCCCACATTAACAATAGGTCATGTCACATGTGACAGAATATATGTGGTGGGAACAGGGACAGATGGCCTGACTCTGGGAAGGAGAAAACCCTAGAAGCCTTCCTGGAAGAGGAGGTAACTGAGCTGAAGATGGACAAAGAAGGGAAGGATGGCAGTGTGTGCAAAGTTTCAGAAGTGTGGAGCTGTGTGCGTCGTTGTTGCAGCCAACAGTGAAGTGTATGTGGGGGTGAGGGGACTGTGGTGAGGAGGAAGAGGGCGCTGACAGAGACCAGGCATCCCTGGTCCCAGAGTCCCTGCCAGCTGGATTCCTCCCCACTCCCACACAAAAGGGAGCTAGGCGAGGCTTTGTTAAGTGGGTGGTAGGTGGACAGGGGCAGGGGTGTCCGGCACGGGCTGTTGTGCAGCTGGTCCTCTGCAGACTCTGCAGGGGGCCTGGAGGTCGCTGAGTGCCCCCACTGTCTGGACCCACCCTGGTGTGATTTGGCTTTTCTCTGGCTTTATTTTGTCTGCAAAGGCTGCAGCAATGTGGGAAGTTCAAAGAGCCTTCAAGACTGCCAGTCACAAATGACAGGAACTCAATTCAAGCTGAATTAATGAAGGCAAAACAAAAGTATTGATTAGCTCTCAAACTGGTGTGTACAGGGGCAGTTTCAGCTTCAGGCCCTCGACCCTGTCTTTCTCTCTGTCTCTCAGCTCTGCTTTCCTCCCTGTTGGCTTATTCTCAAGCCGTGTGGTGGTCCCTGGGAGCTCCAGGCTTAGCCCCATCAGAAGAAAAGAGCCCTTTTCCCCTAAAGCCCCACCATTAAGTCCCAGGCAGGATGCTCACAGCTCGCCTTGGATCCCAGGCTCGTCGCTGACCCCGTCACCCTGGCGGAGGGAATGTGGTCACGTGCCCACCCCAGCAGCCCACCCAGACCCCATGGGTTGAGATGGGGGGTGGTCTTTAGAGAAGAACTGGGCTCTCTTGTCAGGGGAGGGATTCCGGGCAGCAGACCACACACAGATGCCTTCCCCTCCCTCAGCCCCAGGCCGCATGGACTGAACCCAGACTGGGGGCTCCCATAGGCTTTGTTTTCTTGTCGCTGAATAATGCACCTGGGTCATAAGACGTGGAGGAAGTGCCATCCCCGTGTGTAACCTGCGTTCTTTCTCTTGTTTTCCAGGGACCCCTGGGTTTGGATGGCAAGCCCGTAAGTGATGACAGGGCAATTCCAGGGTGTCCTGGGCTGGGGCTGCCACTGTGGGGCTGGGAGTGACCACCAGGCACTGGAGGGAAGCAGCCACTGGAACTTGGTTCAGCAGAGAGAGAAGCCTTTGGGTGTCAGACTTGAGTTCAAATCTAGCTCCACTACCTGCTGACGGTGACCAGGGGAGGCCTCCTCACCTCCCAAGCCTGAGGCTTCTTGTCTGTCAAGGGGGCACACGTACCCTCCTCTTCTAGGGATGCTGCAGACCTATGGAGAACTGTGAGCAGCACAGTCCCTGGGGTCTAGTCAGCCCTCAAAGCATGCGAGCCCCTCCCAGCAGACACAGGCACAGTGTCCTTGCTACATTCTCAAGACTGCCCTGGTGGGCATCAAGCTGAGTTCTCAACATCTGGGCCAGGAGCCTGTGGTCACAGGCAGTCCTCAGCAGAAACATGCAGGGAGACATGAGCACAATTAAATAAGTAATTTGAGGTAGATGGATGGATGGGCAAGTGGGTAGATGTATAGATAGATGCATGGATGGATGGATGATGACTGGATAGATGGATGGATGGATTAGTGGGTGGTTGGATGGATAGTGAATGAATGGGTGGATGGGTGGGTGGATGGATGGATGGATGGATTGGTGGGTGGTTGGATGGATAGTGGATGAATGGGTGGATGGGTAGGTGGATGGGTGGGTGG